ATTGATATTGGAAACTGATTCTTTATTTTTAAAGAATGTCGTTGAAGGTGTTTGGGATACTCCATGGAGCATTTGTATGGAGGTGGACAGGATAAAGAAGTGGAAAACTAAGGGGGAGAACAAGATCATACATATGTTAAGAGAGGGGAATCAACTTGCAGATTTTTTCGCTAATATGGTTTTTAGTTTTGTAGGTACAATTGAATTCAACAATTATCAGGAGACTCCTTTTGAGGCAAAACGAATCATTAATGCAGACAAGTCACAAATCCCTACTTTAAGATATAAGGTCAGCAAAACAATAGCCGGAATGAATCAGGGACCATCAAGAGAAGCAGCATCAAGGAATTTCTTTCAATAATTATTCTACCAAAGTAAAACGACCAAGTTTCGTATCGAGAAATTTTATAAGATTCAACACCTTCCCATTAGTATTTTTTCTTTTGGACAGTGGTATTAAGTTCTTTAGAACTTCAATCCGTCGAAAGGAGGAATATGCATGGATTAGGTGTTGATTGGGTCTATTCAATCATAGATTCGAAGTGTAGTTTACTTTATCGCTTTGTTCATATCACGAAAAAGCTTACCTCAGGTTTAGAAGCTTATTTCCTCTTAGATATGATTTACACGGCGTCTGGTGAGAGCGTTGAGGCTGCCTTAGTGAAATCAACCAAGAACCTGGTGGATTAAAGATAATTTTGTGTTAGTACAACTTCGATAAAGTTCTAGCGAGAATGGAAGATGCTTAAGTTCAACAAATTGAAGCTTACATTAGTTCCGAGGAAAGCTCCATCAGGGTTATTGTAACACCCCGACCTTTTGAAACGTATAAATTGACTCGTATCTTCGTGGAAAGACCAGGAGGGTGGGTAATAAATTAATAATGATGTGTTATGTGATATTATAAGTGTTCAATTGTTGTATCTCAAGTTTTGAAGTTAGGTAAGTGGAAAAATAAAAGTTGGGGAAAGTTACCGTAAATTCCTTTTTAAAGATTTGTCTGAAATTTGGGTCAAATGTCTCGGATGTTTTCTCCTAATATTTTAAGATTTATGATCCCCACGACCTATCGAATCGAAGGTCTACGAGTCTAATTTCCAACGCATCAAACCGTTCGTTCATACGACTTCAGAATAGAGAGATATTTGTGTTTTCGTAGGACTGAGCAAGTAGGCACGTGAGGTGGGGCCCTAGGTTGGTGGAATGTTACATATATCTTCTTCTTCGACCTTTTTCTTCATTTTTAAGCTTAGAACCAGAGAAATTAGAGAAACCCATTTCTAGGATCAAGTGAAATATAGATTTTCTCGACTTAAGTCCTTGACGAAAGTTGTTCTACGCATTGGGCTCATCATCGTGGTATAATTTGTTTTATCGATTGCGTAGCATATCACACTTTAGTGTTGGGACAGCAAGGGTTTGATGATATTTGAAGGTTTTGAGGCGTATTACGAACCTAAGATCGAGGTAAGACCCTTCTTTCATCGACTTTAGCTTTTATAAGCAGCAAACAACAATTTGCGACGGAAATACATATCTTTTATCGTATTGTCATGGTATCTTTT